TAATTTATTGATGTAAAGCGATACCGAATAAATCAAAGACTGTTATCCAGTGTATCGCTTTTCACTCCGATTCACAGTTTTAATATTATATGTATTTCAATTACCTTGATTAACAAAGAATGAACAAATTTCAATTATTTGCAAGCAACGAAGAATGACAGTAGTTATAAGAACTACGGTAAATGTCGAGAAATATTGTTTATTTTTGCTTGAAGGTAATTTCGAAATTCCTGACATAGTCCAATTGGTGTCTATTCTGTAACTTCTTAATGTAATGTATGATTATAAAATTGCGCATAAAACAGCGCTTAATATTAATAATAACAGTTATCGTTAGGAAGTCAAAATAGACACGCAAAAATATAAGATGTAAATGTTACAGACATAAATGTACAGAATATGGATTAAATTTCTCTATAGTTCTTCTAGATCTTAGATTAATGAAAAAAGGAAAATATGAAAGTACATTGTAGTCATTGTTATCTAATATAGAATTTAATTTTGATCTGTAATAGAATTTATATAAGTCTATATATTTGGCTGAGATTTTACTATCGGATATTTTTGCTATAGTCTCAAGTTCATGAAAATTTACTTAAGTTTCGTATATATTCTTTCCCTTTTGTTCATAAAAAAAATCAATTGTTTCCATTATAAATCACATGTAGGTACCAAATGATATGGTATGTACATGTACATAAAACATTTACAATAAACCAATATTTTATAATAAAATAATATATTGTCTGCAACATAATGTATATATTTTAATATTTATTTACGAGATGATACAACAAGCTAGTACAAAAGCTGCGTACATATTCTTTTAAAATTATTTTTCTTTTATAACAAAAATTCATATTTACTAAAACCATATTTAATAATAATTCAGAAGAAACTTCTAATAATTTACAATGATATAAGCAGACAGGTAAAATCAATATAAAAACATTTTTTTCATTATTTTGGAGGATCACGTAAAATCTGAAGATAATATTTGGTTTAAATTTGTAACGACATTAGACTATACATAAATTTAATCTCAAAATTGTTTGTTGCCTTCGAGTTTTTCAATAATGCATATACTGCATTTAGTATTATTAACTAATAATATACAAATGTCATATATAATCATTATTATTAATAATAATGATTATATACAATTTTCAATAATATATAGCGATATAATAATAATAAATCAATATATAACGATATATAATAATAAATATATGATACTAAACAGGGTATTTATGTTTAAATCATTAAAATCAATCGCGTAAAATTGATTATTGTATTTTCTTGGCTGTATTTATAGTCCAGTAGTTTCTTATTTTCAAGACCGTTTTAAGATGGTGATATAGCTTTGTATCTGTATTTGTGACATCTTAAATAGATACTTAAGAGTCTTAAATATAAGAAATGACTATGAACACCGATCTTAGTGCAGTGACATTGCATTTTTACTAATTATAATTTGTGATCCTCCATATTTATAAAGATAACGTTTCTCCATGTACATATATACATGAATACTCCTAAAAATTTTTAAAATGATGTTAGAAAATCTTCGTCATACATTATAAAGATTCCGTCAAATCATATAAATAGTCGATTATTGTTAAAACAAAAATGTTTTAAATTTCTATCTATTACTGCGTCGGTGGTAGAAGAATCGCTTTCAAGCGCAATTCTTCATCAATTTTTGTTACTTGTACACGTATCAAACTAAACAAATTGATTACCTAAAATAGACATTGATCATTATGCTGATAACATATTTGTGTTAGTATCATAACATATACAAAATATTACAATAGTACCTGTATAATAGGAGGTTTCTTCCAATTAACAGTCATAGTTGGTACATAATCTATAGAATACTTCAACGAAGCGATGTATTCTATGTCTTTAAGATTTATTTTTAGTTTTATCCCAGCATCACAGAGAATAACATCTAATGTATCTTCCTTCACATTCATCACAGTAGCTGCCGCTTCAAAATTACCCGCAAGGCCTACCATGTATGCGAAAAACAACTCCGTGCTTTGTTCTTGAGCTTGTTTCGCGCTATATTTCTTCACATTACAATTGGCTGCAATCCTGTTGCAAATTGAAAGTAAACATTACTTATCGAAACAAATTTCATATCATTTTCCTTCAATTTCATATTGCATTATTAACGTACATGGAACACAATTTGGCTGTCCATTTACTTGGTAAAGGTTTATTCTCAAGAGTTGCACTGAGCAAACGATGAACTATACAATCAGAATACCTTCGAATAGGAGAGGTAAAGTGTGTGTAAAGAGGTACATTTAGCGCATAATGTTTTAAATCTTGCACCGGAATAGTAGACGCGCATATATATTCTGCACGCTGAAAAATGCGATTTTCAACATTACAGAGAGAAAATCAATATCTACATTTATAAATTATATAATAGTAAAATAAAAAATAAAAATTCTTACTAGCATAGACTTCGAACAGAGATTTATGATAACCAACATAATATATTTCATGGCATCGACTGTGACAGAATCATTTTCTAGATTATAGCGTTGGATGCTGGCCTGCAAGGCTCCGGCTGTTTCAATATCTAAATGAATTCCATACTTTTGCATTATATTCTGTATTGTATTGAGACTGTGCTTGGACGGATTTTTATGAATACGTAATAAAGCTGTTTGTGGAATTGCGATATATAATTGTGTAGCGACAGTCATATTTGCCAACAGCATAAATTCTTCTATAAGACTGAAATATATGCATAATGGATGATTAATAACTAAAAACGAAGTTAGTTTCTTCATACATAATATTAATGACAAAATCTTATAATAAGTCAGCTATAAATATAGTGAAAGTTCACCTGTTGCTATCTTTTACTTCATATAAATAATAGTTTATAGGTATCGGCATTCCATAGTCTTGACTGAGTCTAGTGTCTATGCATATTTGTAATTTTGGTTGATCTAATTTAAGTGCACCGTTAACGAAACGTTTTCTTCGCAATTGAGTGGACAATTTAAATAATTTATTCACTATATCGGACAATAACGATGCGGTATAATCCGCCTTTATGTCGAGGAAGTCTTTTGGCCAAGACTTTCCCGGATTGTCGATCATGGCTTGAGCCGATTCGTAGGACATTTGACAACACGATCTTATTACAGTCCTAGCGAAACGATGCTTCACAATTTCGGCATTTGGCGTTATTTCCCAAATTACAGAAAAAGCTAATCTATCTTTACCGGGTAGTAAGGAACACACTTTGCATAGTTTCTCTGGTAGCATATGATAAGTCATGTGTGGTAAATAAACGCTTGTGGCTCGTTTCGAAACTTCCTTATCTAACGGGGAGAAAAATTTTAAGTAATGTGTGACATCCGATATATGTACCGCAATCTGAAATTGATAAACGATTTATCAAGTCTTGCCCTGAATGTCTCCTACGAGTTAAAGTTGATATATTGCAAATACTTCGTAGTTTCCATTATCCAAATCTTTACAAGAAACGGCATCGTCTATATCTACAGCTGTTGCAGGATCTATCGTGAAAATGCATTCGTGTCTCCAGTCCTCTCTATTTTTCATGTCAATGTCTGTTAAAATATAATTGCTATCTGGTAGTCCCTCCAACAATGTTTCTTGATACGGAGATATATCTATATTATTTTCGAGTATTATCGCTTGTAATTCTGTATCTATTTCGCCAGCTTTACCTACTACCGAAATAACTCGTCTGCACATAATAAATATGATATATAAGTATATTATATATAAGGATAAAATAAGAGAGAAATAACAGAAGACAATAATATCAATATAAATATGTCGTATACAAAATTACATTTTTAAAATTGTTGACATAATTTTATATATATTGAATAATGTGTGTATTGTGTATTGTAGACCTACCCAGATGCATATATCTTTTCCCAGAAATCAATAACAACAAGAAACATTATATTGCAGAGATCTGCTCGATCGTAATAGAAAGATGGCACTGATTCAGGGAGTATGTTGACTAACGGTACTCTCTGATCTCTTGGATAAAACATCAGGAGTGAATCTTGTTTCTTTAAAAATCCGACTGCTTTTCTCGAGTGCACTTTCTCTAATATACAAACAATTTTACCAGTCTTTTGTATTTGTCCATCAGGGAATTTATGCCAAGATTGTTCTGGATGTACGCATGCCACAACTAAATCTCCTTCAAAAGCACGATTTCTATTTGCTGTACCAACAATTAATAGGTCACGTTCATCATTTTCCAAACGTAAATAAGCAAATTTGTAAAAAGAAGGATTTATACGAAGATTCCCTATTACATATTCTTCATCAGAATGTCGTTTTTTTAAAATATTCTTCATTTTTGATACAGGTATATGATCCGAAAATAGCTTCTTTGTCTTGCCAGCATTCCTTGCCTTTCTTTTTTTTTTATTTTCATTGCTTATCTTTCCATTACATTGTTCATTTTCTATATCAAATTTGTTTTCTATTTTTGCTATTATTTGCGTTTCTGTCTTGTTTTCTCTTCTCAATCTATCATCAGTATCAGTCTAACAAAAAAAAAATGTTAACAAAAGCAATAAAGTATAACACAATTTTAGAGATAATCAATTTCTATATTACAAGACATTTATATAAACAAAAAAATAACTTCAGACAATAACAAGATAAGATTAGAAAAAGGTTTGCATTATACATGTCCAACCTGATTCTTAACTAAATTTTTAGTCCTGCATTTGTCATCAGTTGACACTGTTACAGTTCTGTCACTTTTTGTTTCCTCTTTTGTGGTATCTTCAGACTTTTCTATAGTATTATTCGTGTTCTTCTCCTTCAATCTGCTCGGAAATTCCATAGAATGTGTCATGTTATCTTGTATGGCTTTTGAAGAATTTGATATTGCTTGTTCCTCGATTTTATTTGTTTCTGTCCTATTGGACTTTCTCCATCTAGATTGAAGACTTGAAGAGATTCTGAAATTGGTCACAAGCTGCGTATTTAGCTCAATCAATTCGTTGTATCGAGCAGCAAACACTTCACTTGTCAAGGAATTTAAAACTGTTTTCCGTCCATGAAATTTTCTTCCATTCTCATGTTGAGTCTTCAAGTACTTGGGCATGATTAAACAGACTATCAGCGTGATATAAGAGATTACAATTGCAGCTAAATGCGGAACACAATACGGAAAACATACAAGACAAAGAATTAATTAAAAAGAGCAGATACACAAAGACTTAGTTACTTTATATATATATATATATATATGTGTGTGTGTGTGTGTGTGTGTCAAAGATAAAAAGGGAATCTCCCATGAGTCAATTGAGAATCTCCGACGGTTTTGTCAAGAATGTTGTGAATGTTGACGACGTGTCACCTGCCGCTGTCTCAGGTCACATTGGAAGGAAAAAAAGATAAATACATATCCGTTAGATCGGTGAGGATGTTCCACATGAAACTCCGTCGTTTTCACCAGACAAGACGTTTCACCAGTCGACGTTTTTGATTTATCTCTCGAATTACATAACTCAAAAACTTTGCTGTATTTCCAGTTTATCTCTGTAAATTTTGCTTCGCGAATGAGAATGAGGGTGCGAGCCGCAAAAATTTTGATGGTTAGGCCAAAACGGTCAAAAATTCACCCTGCCGCACGTGAATCACGTGACCGTCGTCCACGAGGCATCGCCACAAGTACGTTCTGTTTCAAGCTGCAACGTCGTGAGTATCGTTTATCTTTGTTTAACATTTGGTAAATAACAAGGATGAAATGATTCTAAGTGCATGCGAATATGCGGACTGGAGCGTGGTGACAGCTCGACACTTTGAGGTTAGATATCACAAGATATGAAGAAATGATCAGAAGTGATCGAAGTAACGCTCTGTGATGGTAGTTTCCTGGTTGCTCGGCCGCTAAATTGCAACTGCGTGAAGTTGTCGGATTGCTTTTAATCACGTTGTAATTGTATGGAGCGGACTCAAGGATGGCCGAAGTAGATATTTTTGACAGCGATGAGGAGCATCTACCACAGGATCTTGGCGATGATGTCGTCCAGGAAGTCCTTAAAACTGGTACCGATTTGCGCCAGTATTCCAGACAAATCGAGAAGGAACTCAAAGAGGTTGAAAACAAGTCGATTCAAGACTATATCAAGGAGAGCGAGAATATAGCCAATCTGCATAATCAAATCACTGCTTGCGACAATATCTTGGAGGTTAATGTATTAAGATACTACAGTTAACGTTTTGCTGGCTGATTCATAACGAATTTGCTATTAGAACATAAAGCAAATATATAAATAATATCAATAAATAAATACGTTAATGTATTTAAATACATTGTTTATATAATTTAGTTTAATAGCTTTGCCAAGTAACATTATTCATCAAGCAAAATTTTGTCAAAGAGACTTATATAAATTTATTCAACATATTTTTATTTATAGAAAATGGAATCAATGTTGATGAATTTCCAATCAGTCCTAGGAAGTATCAGCTCTGAAATAGTTTACTTGCAACGCAAGTCTGTTGCTATGAGCCAGCAGTTGTCTAATAGACAAATAATACGGGGTCCGCTTAGTCAATTCATTGAGGATATGACGGTGTCTGAAGCCTTGATTGCGTAAGAAATATTTGTTGATGTTTTATATGGAAACATTATTTAGATAAGCTTGTTGAATATATGTTGAATACAAATATACATGAATATATGTGAATTTTCTTGCAGTGGTATTATGGATTGTCCAGTGACAGAGAAGGAATTTTTGATTCAGCTGCAGATTCTTAATCATAAAATTAACTTTGTGAAGGAACAAAGTTTCAAGGAAGCAAAATCTTGTTTAGATGTGAAGGATATACTAGAGAAGTTGAAGGTGAAAGCAATGGCAAAGATTAGGACATATTTGCTAGAACAAATTTATAAGTTCAGGAAACCGATGACAAATTATCAAGTTCCACAAAACAATATGCTGAAATATAAATTCTTCTTTGAGTTTATCTTGGCAAATGAGAGAAATGTGGCCGAGGAAATCTGTGGAGAATATATTGACACTATGAGCAAGATATATTATTCTTATTTCAAGTCTTATTCATCAAGGTTGATGAAACTACAGGTAAAGATTAAACAGAAAGATATCTAAACAAATTGAGACATTAGATTGTGATACAATTATTTTTGCAAGTTTGAAGAGAAAGCATCGAAGGATGATTTAATGGGAGTTGAAGATACAGCGGGCAAAGGTATATTTCACAAAACAACGTTAAAACACAAAGGCACTGTCTTTTCTATAGATACAAGAGGTCAAGTTTTGTCTTCCCAATTGGAAGAACCCATCCTTATTCCACACACTGCCTCTAAAACACGAGTAAATATTAATAACATATATTTATACATATATATGTTCTTCAAAGTATATTTTTTCTAAAATGTTTTATAGTACCATTATGAAGCTCTCTTCAGAAGTGAACAATATGCTATAGCTGATAATGGCTGCAGAGAATATCTGTTTTTAATTGAATTTTTTAAAGTCCGTAATGCACAGGCATTAGATATTTTTAATCAGGTAAAAGATTAGTCAAATTTAATAAATGATTTAATAAATGATTTAATAATTGATTTAATAACTAATTCGATATATTTAAATAAGCGTACGTCTTAAACAATAGATGTACTAATTTAATTTTCTTGGTAGGTTATGGGAAAAACGTTAAATTTCATGATAAAGAATTTGCAATCATTTGTTGAGGATTGTTATGATACAATTGCTCTGTTTCTCTGCTTACATTTAGTGATGCGTTATCAGTTAATATGTCACAAAAGAGCTGTACCAGCATTGGATAAATACTGGGAGACTTTAACAGCCACAATTTGGCCTAGGTATTTAAATATGTTTAAAAATAAAATTGTGATAAAATTATTATTTATTATTATTATCATTAGTGATATTTTGTATTAATTATTATAATTTACAAAATTATATTTTAGATTTGAACTGGTGTTTCAATTAAACATAAATAGTGTAAAAGACTGTGATCCATCAAAGTTCAGCAAAGAGACTGGTCCGCATTACGTAAGTGTTTAATTAAATACAAAATCTCATTGTTTATAGCAATTTAATTACCATATAACATTGTAATATTTAATGTTAATAATTTCTTACATAATTATGAATATTTTTAGATTACCAGAAGATATGCGGAGTTTAGTGCAGCTATTGTAAGTGTAGTCGAAGGATTTCCCTGCGAGGGAACCACTCAGTTATTAGCAGAACTGAGAGAAACTGTACAATGCTTCTTGTTAAGAATGGCATCCATCTTCCCGAATCGTACGCAGCAATTAGTATTTCTTATCAATAATTATGATCTGGTACTCAGGGTATTAATGGTAAGTAGATTTTATCTGATTTGAAAAAATCTGTCAAAGTTAATATGTATCAAGAAAGAACTAAATTGTTATATTTAATTGCAGGAAAGAACGCGAGAAACCTCGAAGGAAGCGGAGAGTTTTCGAGAGCTGTTAAACGCGCGTTCTTCCGAATTTGTCGAGGAAGTCCTGAGTCCACATTTTGGTAGTATAATTCAATTGGTGAAAGAATCGGAAGCTCTGATCGATAAGGGTCAAGCTGATGACTTGAAACGACAAGAAGGTAAAGCGCTGGCATTGGTGCAATCTTTTACGAACAATTGGAAACGTGCATTAGAAGAAATAAATCGTGAAGTTTTGCAATCGTTTCCCAGTCTAGTGCTCGGCAGCACGCTAGTGCAAGGCGCAATGACGCAGTTAGTGCAATATTATCATCGCCTTCACAAGATTCTGCCGCCGAACGCACGCACGCAACTCACAAACATCCATCACATAATGGTAGAAGTTAAAAAGTATAAGACAAATTATTAGGCAATTCTCTGACGAAATTAGTGACTCAAATTCATTGGTTGTTTGTCACAAAAGAATTATTTCCAGTATTGTATATAGAATTCAACTATTTTAGTGATTACGAACTTTAGCAATTATGATTATTTATTAAATAAATTTGTAAATTTGGTTTTATTATATTAAATATTCAGGAAAATCGGGTTAGATTCTTGTAAATATAATCGCAACTTATACATTCTGTACATTTATTTATAAAAAAAATATGAGCTAAGCATGGTATTGCGTTACCATTCTATACAATAGCGATTAATATTCTATACTCCTGTGCGCATAACGCGCGAGTACACGATGTGTCTGATGTTGCTTATCTTATATAAATTAATATGTATACACATGTACGTTAAAAGTGGTCTCGTTACTTTTTCCTTCGATTTCGCGACACCTATGGCATAACATGTCAATTTGTCGGTGATTGAATCCAATCGCGATGTGGCGAGCATTTTTTACTGATTACTTTGATACAATTTAATCGCCACGCATTTTTTTTATCTCACAAATAATTTATTTATCTTTACCCGATATATCGGTTTTCAATCTTTCATTTAATTATTGTTTTATATTACGAATAATTATCACCTTGTTGCAACTTGCTGTTGCAATTTAATCGTCAATTTATATTCATTTCTGTCGTTTTACAATACACCGTCGATAGCATGCAACACACCGTTCGTTGCTGGCACATTGTGCGTTACAACATGTGCTTCGTTCACTCGTACTCGTCCTGAAAGCAATAATGTACATCATCTGAAAAATTACTTATTTGATTTATATAATTTTTTATATAATTTGATGCATTTTTTTATTGTGAAAGATTAGATGAGAAAATATTAAAATATGAGTGTGACTTGTTACATTCGAATTACTTACCGCCGTTTTTATGGATATGAACCGGCGACTGTGGACGAAGAGTGTCCTTTTGAATATAATATCTCATTCCGGCTGTATAAAGAGACGAGGGAATCACGTGTCGCGAGATTATCGCCTTTGCCGCTTCCGGACCGTCCTCTTCGTTCCAAATTGGAGCGCCGTTCTTCGTGGACGCATCGGTGAAAGCAGAATCGATTGGTGCAAATATGGTGAATGTCTTCGGTCCTAGAAAAGCAATTTTCGTTGCTAAACGACGGAAGCGCAAGGAATCGAGATAACTCGATGGAATAAGTACATGAAAGGTGTGTCACACACGTGTGACACAAATCGAATCCCTTTAATTTTCAATTGCATGTATATTTAATTTACCTGTAAGTGTGTCCTCCAAGCCTGACGCATGCAACATCCGAAGGAATGTAGTGAACCTTCGTTCACGATCGGCCTGTAGGGTTTGCACCAAATCTCCGACCGGAAGCGGGAACATGACCCTGTCGACGGCGTGGGCGATACCTTGAGGAATCTCAATGTCCCGTTTGTTGGGCGCGACACGTGCCCCATTTATCGTTGTTACCTATTTGCAAACAATGCAAAATGAAGAGAAACAATCGCACGATACGGAATCATCTTCGTCGGGAGTACTTGGTACGTGATGCCTCGAAGTGATTCGGAGAGAAATTTTAAATTTCGAACATCCTGAGAAAGACATCGTCGAGACGTCGCGTTAAAAACGCGCATTATCCGGAACCTTTTGTGAGAAACGGATGACGCAGCTTTGCAACTTCGAGCGTGTTCATCGAGTGAATGGAAGATTTCTAGCATATTCGAAGGTCAATAAACTGGATCACGCACACAAATACACACGTACTGTATACTAATCATCATTATAAAAATGATGTCGCATTAAATCACGGGCTATTAATAATTCACAGAGAAAATTCACAACGAATAATCCTCTATTAGACGAAGAGAAGGCTCAATAACTTGAAGACAAATTAGTTAAAAATGAGGAGACGTAAGATTAAAAAAAAAAAAAAAAACAAGAAAGGAATTTTGAAATGTTCTAAGCCATAGAATTACTTTCACATCATTCCATTCGTGATCCTGCATTGCGTACTCGTTCACCCGCAACTGCGTTCCTGCGAGACTGACGCCGGTCATCTCGTCCTGCAGGGAATCGATCCTGAAGGCTCCTGGTATGACGTGGTGAAGAAGAAGCTGCCGTAAAGAATTTTCGTTGGTATATATTATTTGTAAATAGTTATTATCTTGTTTTATTTAGATCGGTTAATTTAGTCTAACCGACTCCGATCTTTTTGTAGTTTAAAAAAAAAAATCGATAAATCAATTTAATTATGATTATTCGCCGATGTCAGTGAAACCTATCATCAGTAGTTAAATTATTGATGTTTTCAGCATCGATGCGTACCCCACTTAGAAGTCTCGGATTGTCGTGGAACTTCTGTTCAGCTTTCTCTGGCCCTCCCAGCTGCACCAGTAACGTCCTGAAGGCTTTGTCCGTAGGGACGAATATAGTGTACGGACCTGAAATATAAAACAAATAAAATACAGGAAAGTATCAAAATTTTAAGTTTTTTATCTCAAAATTCTTTGGCTTAATCTAAGAATAACTTCTCCTCGTATGTCGAGGCTCTTTCAATTACTGCTTGATTGACGCTTGAAAATGAGAGACTTTCAACAAATTAAAGAATGCGTTCAGAAGAAAGAACGCATGAGTAATGTTTATTTCTAGCAACTAGTAGATTAATTTTAATTTCGCTTTAATTTACTCTTTTTTTAGATCTAAGAAAAAGAGATAAAGAGTAAATTGAACCGAGATTAAAGTTGATAGACAGGAATTATGTTTCTTGTATAACAATTCAATTGAACTTTGAATCTTGATTTAGGATACAGGTGTTAAAGTATGACGTTAGACATTGGAAGGAAATCTTTCACGTTCTTTCATCTCGTTGTATTAATTTCATTTTATCATGTGTTGATCGAGTGTCAAGGGACAGTGTTGCTGTAGTTCGACAGAAACACGCAATTCCTGCGATTGACATATCTGTAATTATGCTTTATTCGCCAGACATTCTCTCCCATTCCGGACGTAGCGCATGAGTTCATCTATAATCCTCGAAAGAAAAACATATATATTGGAGAACGTGATGAAGTTACACAATCTTCCGACTGATAATTGCATTCGCGATTGATGGAAACGGAACTGTTACTGGGACGGGGGATCGCTATTAAAGGAAATATCGCCGTTCGCACGCGAGAAAACACACATAGTGGCTTATTTTCATTTTAACAAGCGTGCGAACGCGGTCGAAATAGAATTGTCAGTACGTGAAAATAATATCGATATTTTTCTCACGAGGCCACGTCTCACATGAAATCGATGAAGTCACGGCAAATGAATTGAGTACTGCCGTTTATCGATTATTTAGCAAAAATTATTTGTCACCGAAGAAACGCGTGAAAGGATCGACATTGCATGTTAATGTGCGCTACATGTTAACGTACCGCAAAGAGAATCCAGTTCAACTTGAACTGAATTCTTCAGAGATAAAATGAAAAATACATTATTGCAATACGTAAAGAATAACTATTACGTAACTTTCGTAAATTAATACGTAACGTCGTCATAATTTTCTGCGCACTTTTGTATGTTTAGCCTACAGATTTATTATTGACTCTACTTGTTTTCGTTGGGTCAAATTTCTTTTTGCCTCAACGAAAAATTATGTCAAAGGGCCAAAAGGTAATGAGCTAAGCGAATCGTCATGCCGATAATTATAACGACTAATGAAATCACGTGTCTTCTTTGTGAGAGCCCGCGTAATGAGATACGCGCACTCGCCTTTGTTCTCGCAGAAGGCGGAGAGGTGTCGGTGTCGAAACGGGCAACGAGTCGTGAGAATATTTTTTTCAACAATGTTGCACGACTAAAGCGAAACGCGAGGTACAAATGGTGGTGGATTGTGCAAAGAGGCACGGCCTACCTCGCCACCAACGGGATCATTTGTACAACCGTTTGGTCCCCAGAACATTGACGTAAGTTATCCCGCCTTGCGATATCGAATAAAAGTGTGGCGATTTTATATCTATTGCAAAAAATATCCTTTACAAAATTTGTTATAACATTTAACGTTTTCTCGTAATACTCTTCATATAAAGCAAATCAGCCGCATCAGCCGCTTTCTTACTTAAATTTCTTACTTAAAAAATCATAAAGTTTGTGTTTACGTCAAATTTCATTAATTCGATATTATCAATCGATATTATCAATCGAGGACAAAAATGTGAAAGTTCCCGAAATTTTTATCTATATTCACACGAAAATTACTTAAAATCTATACTTTTCTTTCTTAATTTCTTCTTTTTCTTCCTCTTTTATATAAAAGAAGAAGATGCCTCTTCGCTGCTTAAAGTCTGTTTTCTTTCTTAATTTTATTAATTAAGCTAAATTTGACAACTCACCGGTTTCATTCAGTACATTATCCAATCCCGATTGCCTCAAGTACTTTGCCATAGCGAAGAGACCTTCTCGCCTTAACAAAGTGGACAGATTTTCCTGGGTAATTTGACTTCTTACAGTATTTTCCGTTGAAGACAATGAGATCGATGGGGAGGTTTCCGTAGGCGGGTGTTTGGAATAATAGACGTGAGAGTTTGTCGTGTGATGCGAATAAGTCGTTGGAGTCGTCGCCGTCGTCACGATTTCGTTTACCGGCGCCATCGTCGGGATGAACTGACTCCTGGTGGACGATGAGTATTTGGTGGTCACTCGCGGAATGTGATCCGACAAGGTCGTCTTCGTTGGGCTAGTATTTAGAGAGTTATACACGTGGCCCGTGACACTGGATGCCGAGGTAACGTACTTGTCGGTTGTAGACACCGAGTTTGGTGACACTGTCACGTAGGGGAAGTAATCCGCTGTCGTCGACTTGCTGAGAATTTTATTTCATTGTTCAGTATTTTTTACTAAGTCAAATATAAAAAATGAAGAAAAGAAAAATACACATTCAAGTCAAATGCAGACAGCGAAGCGAAACCAAGTAAATTACGTTTCAAAAATCAGGCGGAAAAAATTATTCCTATAATTTATTTCGATTATTTTAAACTCTGAAAAAATTATTTGAATGAAGAAATATTATTAATAAAGTATATACGAATTGTTGTGAGACTTACCTTTCGCTGTATCGGGTCGAGGTAGATCTGACAGTGGTAGGCCTGAAGGTCGCCGCTGTCGTGCTGATGGAGTAATGAGGTGACGTCGGCGTCCTGGACGTACCAGTGGACACTAGCAGATTTGGATCGAGATTGGCCTCGAGATGTTCCAGCGTGGAAGACTGCGTGGTCGGTCCGAGTGAGCTGGGCGGTAACTTCAGCTCGCCCTTCTTGATTTTCTCGACGATGGACTCGACATCGGTGCTGCTTTCCTTGTCATTGGTGTTACCCTTGACACCTTGTACCTTATAACTGCCGTCCGGTTGCTCCTCCAACAGGACGAATGTGACCTTCTTCGCCGGTAGATTCTGGATAATCGGTGTCTTGCCGATTTCTTCGAGTCTACCATCGCTCTTCTGTCGAATGACCTCGAAATCGGCACCTGGCGGCAACACGCCGCCCTGCGTCAGTTCCTCAAAAAGCGCCTTCGGCGGCTTGATAGTGGTCGTTGAGGATGGCGATGAGGATGACGTCTGAATGGTGGAGCTTCCACTCGATGTGATGGAAGGTAAACCGTTGCGCGCGTGGATGACTTGAATCTTCTTGCCGTTTGGCAATATTAGATCCCTGGTGGTGACATTCCTGACAACGTCTTCATCATCGCCGGACTGGGCTAGAGCGAGTTTGAGTTGCTTCAGTAACAATTCCCGCTCGGACTGCTGAGAATTTCTGTTTCTACCGCCAGAATTCTGCTTCGTCATGCTGGGTTTATCGGTCTGATAAATCACCTTGATCTGCGGCTTCGGTTTGCCCTGCTGCAATAGTCGACTCTCTTGATCTTGAATTAGGCTAAGCAGGTTCTCCGGTATGTCCGACGTTTCCTGATGAGTGCTGATCAGACGTCTAGGTGGCGGAGGTGGTTCAGTGGTAGTGGTAGTGGTGGTGGTGGTGGTCGTCGTAGTTGTGCTTGCTGCTGTCGTTGTATATTTCTTCTGATGGTTAGCAATTGCTTTAAGAAAAAGTTCCGCTTCCGACGGCGTGATACGCCGCGCGGTCGGCGAGGAAAGCAACAACGGCGCCGAAGTGGTGCTGACGATCGGGGTTGATGTCGCAGTCGGGGGTGGTGGCGTAGTGGAGGTGAGCCTCTGGAGTTGCTGAAGTCGCAGCAATTCCTGCTGCCTGCGCAATTCCTGCTGCTCGTACAGCAATTGCTGCCGTTGTTTCTGCAGCAGCTCCAGCTCGCGCTGCTTCTCGATATATTCCTGCAGCTGCAGCGTTTGCTGATCGCTGAACAGCGGCTGCGACACGTCCTGATGAAGATTCTGGAAGCCGTTCTGATTATACTGATTGTATTGTTGCTGATATTGCTGCTGGAATTGCGGCGTCTGTACGCCGCTTCCGCCACTTCCGCCGTTCACGAAATTCGAAGTGCCGAGTTGTTGGGCGATCTTTTGTTGTTGCTGTTGCAGAAGCTGTTGCACCTGTTGCTGTTGCTGCTGCAATTGCTGCAGCTGTTGTTTCGCTCGATCGACCTTATACTTGGCTAGAGAGCTATACGGCGTGCTTGATTGTACTTGCTCGAATGAGGGAAAAGATGTTACCCGCGGATTCTTGGAGTCCTGATTGGGACGTCGGTATCGTTGCTGATGTTGCTGCACGTCGCTCAGTATCTGGGCTTGCTGGGAAGCCGAGAGACGAGGTCGCGGATCGTGCACGAGACGGCCCTAAAATCAAATATTTACACAAATGTATCGCCTACTCTCTTAAGAAGTAAAATTAAAATTTCTTGTGAACACAAAGTGATTTATTCAAAGCTACTCATTGTTTCCATTTATATGTTTTTATTCACATTTTTTTCATTAAAACGAGTGATTTACAGCGCATGATTATTTGCGCGTTAAAATTCCTGTGGTCACCGCTCTTTATTTATCTGTGATGATGCAAAATTTTATGTAATGTAGAATTTTTGCAGACGTTCTAGGCATCATGAGCATTAATAACAAGATTATATAACACTATGATATTTCTAATAGTATTTATTATCGGTACCAAAAAGATCTAATAGCAGACAATTGTGGACAACACGTTTTAAAATTCAGTTGCGACAGTTATTGCCTCTTTTCTAATAACATTTTTATATCGTAACAAGAAGTTTATACAAAATGTTCTACAATGTATTGCGATAAAGCAACGTATCTTAACTTTTTAGTAAACAGACATAACTTTTAGTAACCCAAAATAAAAAATATGTTGCCGTTATAAAGATGAAGTTAAAAGTTTGATAATAATGACACTAAATGCAATAAATCTTTCGTATACTAGGGAGAAAGTATAGCAAATATGAAAAGTATAAGAATAAATTGTTGACTATTTTCATAAATTACTGTGGTTAATTACTTTACGAATTACATTTTGCATTTTCAATCTACTTTAGATATTTCATTAAATAATGTGTTGTATGACAGTAAGATAAAAAATGGTAAAAGCGAAAGCAAATCGAATCAACGCAATTGGCGATGATTCGGTGTATGTCACAAGATTTATAAATTATCCTAGATTTATAGTCTCCGAGAGGAGGACTTATACTGGAAATCAACTGGAAAATCGATGAGATTACCTCTCATGATTTAGTAAAAGTTGCTGGATACATCGCTCTTTTGTGAACATTCAATTTAAATCAATAGGTCAACGTGAATTTTGCAACACATATCTTTCTTGGATAAATAATATTTAATATTTAGCTAATGTTTTCTTAATTCTTCAATTTTCTTTTTACGTTCAGCATAATAAAGAACGCTTTAAACATTTATTTAACAAACTTATTTCATATGTATAGTTCGTATAATTTTATAAAATTAATACTCACAATTAATTTCCGAATTTTAGGAACAAAAAGTGTCAAAAGTAACGCATATTTTTTTATATTAAGTGACAATTTTATCGCTTAAATTTACTAACAATAAGTACTCTTGAAAGATCTATTTCACTTTTTTTTTTTCAACATATTGTATTGTATATCGCGGGCTCGTTAATTCCTGTTTATTGATTCTATTATCGCCGCTTTTATTATTGCGATACAATACTGCGCTCGGCGCGCTCTCAAATTCATTGTTGCTCTTATTGTGCGCACGAGAAAAACGCGAATAATTAAGATGGCCGTAATTAAGAGGGGCATTGTTCGATCTTCCTTTCTCCTGGGTGCCTTCTGCCGTCGTCGGTCCTGTGAGTCTTCTCGTTCTCTTGTAGAAAGTACGACCTACTGCAGTTTCCATTTCGCACACATAACGACTTACATATCATGTTCGAGTGAATCGATGTGGTTCTTTATATAACGGCATAGCCCTGCGGCTAATATCCGCATTTTGCATGATTACGTGGTCTTCTCATACGCGGTCCGCAGCTGTCGCATTTTTATATATAAGATATTCATAATATTATTATTCAGCAGAAAAACCAGCAGAGTTTCTTTTCTCCGCCTTCACGAGACATTGTCTGAATGTTATACTTATTAAATTTTATGATAAAGTCGTTTAATATCATTTAATAGAAGATGCTAAGGAAAGAATTATTTCTGAGATTCTATTATTTGCTCAGACAAGGTTTGAGAAGATTGACAGCTTAAATGGCTTATATTTGAAAATGTTGAAAAGTGAGATGATGCAAACAACTCGTTTGCGAGGAATTTCAATGTACGTCAACAATGTTCCGCTCCGCATTTCCAGGTCAATTACACGTATTCGATTTCATTGACATTGACATTAACGGCGAGGAATCTGTCTAATCAATATTTTTACACTTACATCGTGATTAGCTACATTAAATAATAATAATTATATCATTATTTTTATTAAATATATAAAAATATGTTATAATGTTAAATATGTCTGATAATGTATTATTTACGTTTCTTATGGTTGTATGAAAAAGTCGATGAGATGTCGACTCAAAATTTGTATGCGAAATTTTGCTAAATTTACGAGTGTATAATTGTTATATGACAAATTTATATTATATCATTGTTAGTGCTCTTGATATTCACCTTAAAATCATTCTATCATATTTACACGATTCTGCTAAATCATGCTCATTATACTGAATATATTTCAAACTGCAGGGTTATTGATACTGGTTCTTCAATATCACAGTTGTACTAGTTTAACGTCATGCAGCGTGACGAAATAATTTCACATAAATGCACGCAAGGAGCAGTCTCTGAAATTATTCTGTGTTTTGCAAATTACGTATTTCATTGATCGCAATCTCCAGCCTTTGGCCGATGTTGCAAACCGATCGATTAATAGCAATTAAGAACTATCCTTCTCTCTCGCGACTGTGACACTTTGTTAAGTGTCACAAGCTGCGATGTGGCGATTACGCGTCTATCTCAAACTTTCTACTTTAGCACGTGCGGCTGGAAATAGCATATCCCGGTTTTGTAAGACGCACTTAAAAAGTAGCAATCTTCGAGATCGTCCGACCGCTCGTTAGCTAAGTGATCGGATTAAGTTGCGTGCCAATGATTTACACAGATTCCTGCGTGTAATTATCACTTTCTGTAACAACCTTGCACATACAGTTCGTCCTGCGGCAATATCCTGTGGTAAGTCAAATCGTGCCGGATGTTAAAACGCCGTGAAAGGATTGTATATTGACTTAATGATGACATCGGGATTGCGCAGAAAATGTGCACGTTCCAAACCACGGTGAAAAAGAATTTTTGAAGACCTTTTCTGGAATTGGATTTCTGTCGTAGTCGCGAAAATGAGCTATCTGGCAATTTGCGCGATCACCTCGAGAAATAGTCTGCCTCTGTCAGAAGATAATTGAGGCCTAGAAAGCGACGGAGTTCAGAGAAACTTTGGAGCACTAAGGAGTACTAAGAATGACGGAGCCGTCCTGTTCGACGATTCATCACGTTGATTTAGATTTTGCGGAAATTCAGCTCAGAATCACGCCAAGTTTGCGTTTCGACGAGTAAAGCCATGATATAAAAAAAGATATAAATATTAAAAATAAAAGTGCTCACAAAAGCTGTTTTTTTTAATATATAGTATTCATTGTACAGAAAATTGCAAAAAGAAAAAAATTAAATAAAAATATAAATGATATAGATTCAATTTTTGTTGTAAAAATAATTTTAAGAATCATTTTTCTTTTTCACATTTAATCCTCAAATGGAGCAATGTTTTTTTAAACTCCTACACAACTTTCAAAGATGCTCGAAACGCTTCAAAGACAGGTCGTCGCTAAGAGTCTTTCGCGAGAGGGATAAATGCAGTAATGCCTTGCAGACCGCGGTTAATCACCCTGTTACACGGGCCATTAGAAAATACATAAAAAATACAAGTGGAGCGAATTCAGGCGAATTCAGGAAGATTAATGACCCGCAGTGTGCTCGACCCACGCGCGGATAAACGTTGGAGAACGCGAATCGCGCGCGAACGAGGCACGGGATAACCGTTATCACGTGGCGCATATCTCAAAATATGATATATATCGCTGGAATTGTAACAGCTTCCGAGTCCGACGAAGACGGAGCTCTGACCAGCGGCGGTTTCATGAAAGATAGTCCTCTCACTTTCGTGCCATAAGGCGACCGCAATTCGCAACCGGTCGCCGCTATCGGACTCTCAAGTATCCTCCACGATAAAATAAGGAGAGGAATCAATAAATTTGTACTAAAATAACTCTTAAAATGCGTACAACGATGAAATTTGGAAATCAGCTAAATTTTCTGAAATTAGCTTCTCATTTTTCAATGTCAGAGTAAATTACATTAAAGTATCATTAACAATTACACAATTAGATAAAACATCATTTATTTGCAACTAGTAAAATCTTCATTCGTCGTAATTGAGAACTCTCTATGTCAAACGTGAAATAACTTTTTAAGCTTGCCATTAAATCTATTCATTTGTCTATGCTGTATAATTCGCAGAAGAAATTTGTGATAGCGGAGGAAAGAGGATAACTCATTAAAAACATACAACGCCATTGCGTTCTCTTACTCACTATATTGAGGCGATTATCGTTTCTCCTAGCAATTCAGAGATCAAGGCATAGATCGCGGGTATTTATAATGCACAGAAGGAGCCAAGAAACTGCACTTGGAATAAACATTCTCCTTTTTTTTTTCTCTTCCGCCTGTGGGAAACTCGCAGCCGCTGGACTGTACTTGGCTTTTACAAGATGAACATGCGCCGCTTAATTGCGCCAGTAGATACGAACCATAGTCAGACACGATGTGAAACCCTGTGTATAATTCCAATTTGATATCTATTGACGCGTTATTTGTCGTGAATTCATATATCGTTTATTATGTTTTCGTTCAATAAAGCATAAAAATCGATCAAGTTTAAATTAAAAATTATAAATAAAATTACAAGTTTAATTTAAATTTTATTTATAGACAAAAATGCTAAAATACTTAAATTAATTTTCCCGTGAAATTATATTAAGTTTTTAAATATTGTTTTATTGCTTATTATTGTCTAGCAAATTACATCTTGTTATTTATAGTTGTTATTTTATAACTGTTCTCAGATCACGTTTTCAACTCTAACTTTTTAACTTTGTTTTTGATAAAAGGAAAGTAAAAAGGAAAGGAATGGAAAAAGAGAGAAAGAAAAGAATGTCTAAAAATATTTTCTATGGAATGTGTACATTTTACTTTTCAAGTCTCATTTTGTTCTATAAAATTGTTCAAGCGCGCTCGTACACGAAG